GCCTCTCTGCTCCTATGATGCTGCTTGGCCTGCTGTGTTCATCCAGCTTTACACAGAACCATCTTTCTTCCACAACTATGTGCTTCTCACCATGCCCAAGCCCCAGCTCTCACAGGCTCAACACAAATTCTAACTGGAGAATGACATTCAGCTGATATGACAGTGTGCAGGATGATGTTAAGTTTTTGTATAAGAGGAAGGAGATTTTGTGAGAATTGTATACAATAGTAATTTAACCACATCTTGAGTAAAGTATGCAGTTCTGTTCATCTCATTGTAAGAAATATCTATTGGAGATGGTCAGAGGGGCTTTACAGGGATTTGCCAGGACTGGATGTACTTAGGTTTAAAGAAAGAAAGGATCATTTTGGTCTGCTTTTCTTGGAACAGAGTAAGCTGAGACGAGGTTTAAATTTCAAAGGGTTATAGATAACCTCAATAGAGATTATCCATTTCGCTTAGCAGAAGGCCAAAAACTAGCAACAAGTAACTGATAGAAAAACTAGAGAGGAGATGTGGAAACACTCGTTCACCCTGGGGATGCGAGAGACCTGGAACCCACTGCCTGAAAGGTGGCAGAGTTTGAAATCTCACCATACTTGAAAAAGTAATTAAACATCCACTTGAAGAGCTATGAAATTCAGGGCTATGAGCCTTGTGCAGAAAGGAATTAAGACTCAGTAGCTCTTTGTCAAACAGCAAAGATGAAATAAGCCAAATAGCCCCCTCTTTGGACAAGTTGACTGAGTGGGCAAATGCATGACAGATGCAGTATAACGTGGACAAATGTGAGGTAATGCACATTGGTTGCAAAAACAGGAAGGCGGATTATTATCTGAATGGTGATAGACTGGCAAAAGGGCAGGTACAACGATACCTGGGTGTTCTTGTATACCTGTTGCTGAAAGTAAGCATACAGGTGGAGCAGGTGGTGAAGAAGGCAAATGATACGTTGGCCTTCATAGAGAAAGGATTCAACTACAGGAACAGAATGCTGCAATTAAATAGAGCCTTGGCGAGACCACACTTGGAGTATTGTGTCCAGTTTTGATCTCTTTACAGATTCATGAAGGTCTACAGCACAGTCAAGATCCTTTGGCCAATCAAGTCTGTGCCAATCAAAAACAACCACCCATCTATTCCAATCCCATTTTCTAGCACTTGGCCCCAGCCATGTATTGCAAGTGTACATCTAAATACTTCTTAAATGTTATGAAGGTTTCTGACTCTACCAACCTTACAGGTAGTGAGTTCCAGACTCCCACCATCTTCTGGGTGAAAAGAATTTTCCTCACATGGCTTCAAAACCTACTGTCCCTTACCTTAAAGCTATACCCCCTTGATCATTGATTCATCCAACAAGAAGAAAGGTCCATTCCTGCCTAAACTATCTCTGCCTCTCGTAATTTTTTACATCTCTATCTAGCCCTTCTCTCAGTCTCTCCTGCTCCAAGAGAACAACTTCAATATGTCCAAAAGATAGTGTTAAAAAATACATCTGTTTGATGTGGAAGGTCTTCTTAGGGCCTGGGATGGGGGTGAGGGCGGAGGTGTAGGGGCAGGTGTAGCACTTCCTGCGGTTGCAGGGAAAAGTGCCGGGGGTGGTGGGGCTGGTGGGGAGTGTGGAGTGGACAAGGGAGTCACAGAGAGAGTGGTCCCTCCGGAAGGCAGATAAGGGTGGGGAGGGAAAAATGTCTTTGGTAGTCGGGTCAGATTGCAGATGGCGGAAGTGTCAGAGGATGATGCGTTGGATCCGGAGGTTGGTGGGGTGGTACGTGAGGATGAAGGACATTGTTATTGTGGAGAGGGGGTGTGAGGGATGAGTTGTGGGAAATGCGAGAGACACGGCCGAGGGTGTTTTCAAACACTGTGGAGGGGAAGTTGCAGTCCTTGAAAAACGAGGACATCAGGGATGTCTGGGAGTGGAATGCCTCATCTCGGGAGCAGATGCGGCAGAGGCGAAGGAATTGGGAATAGGGGATGGCATTTTTGCAGGAAGGTGGGTGAGAGGAGGTGTATTCTAGGTAGCTGTGGGAGTCGGTAGGCTTGAAATGGATATCGGTTTCCAGGTGATTGCCAGAGATGGAAGTAGAGAGGTCCAGGAAGGATAGAGAGGTATCGGAGATGGTCCAGGTGAACTTAAGGTTGGGGTGGAAGGTGTTAGTGAAGTGGATGAGGCTCCTCGTGGGAGTACGAGGCGGCGCCGATACAGTCATCGATATAATGGAGGAAGAGGTGGGGGATAGGGCCAGTGTAGCTTCGGAAGAGGGGTTGTCTGTAGGGAGTGGGAAATTTCTGAAGAAGGGTCCAGACTCAACACGTCAGCTTTCCTGCTCCTCTGATGCTGCTTGGCCTGCTGTGTTCATCCAGCTCTACACCTTGTTATCTTCAATCTGTCCAATCTTTCTTCATAACTAAAACTCTCCAGCCCAAGCAACATTCTGGTAAATGTCCACTGCATCCTCTCCAATGCAATCACATCCCTGCTATAATGTGGATTCCCGAACTGTACTCAATACTCTAGCTGTGGATTTATCTGTCTTTATCCGAGGAATGATATTCTGGCTACAGAAGGAGTGCAACAGAAGTTTAAGACTGATTCCTGGGACAGTAGGATTGATGTATGAGAACAGACTGAATCAGTTAGGACCATATTCACTGGAGTTTAGGATGAGGGAAGATTTCATATAAGCCTATGAAATTCTACCAGGACTAAACAAGTTAAATGCAAGAAGGATATTTCCAATAATCAGTGAGTCTAGAATCTGAGATCACAGTCTAGGGATATTGGTAGGTCATTTAAGACGGAGATGAGGAGAAATATCTTCACTCAGAGTGGTGGACCTGTGGAATTCAGAAAGCTGTTGAGGCAATAACATTGAATGTTTTCAAGGAGTTACATGTAGTTATTAGGGCTAAAGAGATCGAAGGGCATAGGGTGAAAGCAGAAACAGGACATTGAGTTGGATGATCAACCATGATAGCATTGAATGGTGGAGCAGGCCAGTGGGCCGAAAGGCCTACTCCTGCTCCTATTTTCTATGCTTCTATGTTCCAACCAAGGGGTTAAGCACATATATTCTGTCAGTTTCAATGAGATTTCCCCCATCATCCTTCTAACTCCATCGAGTACAGACCCAGAGTCCTCAAATGCTCCTCATATGGCAAGCCCTTCACACTCAGGATCATTCTTGCAAATCTCCTCTGGACCCCTTCCAAGGCCAGCATATCATTCCTTAGATATGGGGCCCAAAAATCCTTAGAATATTCCAAATATAGTCCAACAAGAGTTTCATACAGCCTCAGCAATACATCACTGCTCTTGTATTCTAGCCCTCTTGAAATGACTGGGTACATGTTATTTGCAATCCTACCCGCCAAGTGAGCCTGCATATTAAGCTTAAGAGAATCCTGAAGCAAGACTCTTAACTTTCTTTGTGCTTCCGAAGCGTTACCCTGTTGAGAAAATAATCTACATCTCTATTCTTCCTACTAAAGTGCATAATCTCACACTTTCCCATTGTATTGTATTACATCTGCCACTTCTTTGCCCACTCTCCTAGCATGTCCAAGTCCTTCTGCAACCTCCCCAACTCCTCAACACTACTAGTCCCTCCACCCACCTTTGTGTTACGTGCTAACCTAGCAACAATGCCCTCAGTTCCTTCGTCCAGATCATTAATGTATAACGTGAATTTTTGTGATCCCAACACTGACCCCTGTGGAACTCCATTTATCACTGGCTGCCATCCTGAAAAAGACTCCTTTATCCCTACTCCTTGCCTTCTGCCAATCAGCCAATCCCCTTTCTGTGTCAGTAACTTGCCCCTAACAGCATGGGCTCTTATCTTATTTAGCAGATCCTGTGCAGCACCTTGTCAAAGTGTTCTGGAAATCGCCAAGGTATAGAAATTAAGAGCAAAAAGGTTATGCTGAAACAAGTAAAAATCATCAGTTAGACCACAAGTTGAGTACAGTGTTCAGTTCTGGTTGCCTCATCACAGAAAGGATGTAGTCAAACTGGACAAGTTGCAGAGGAGATTTATGAGGAGGTTGCTAGGAAAATGCAACAATGGGGATAGGATAGGCTGGGTTTGTTCTCCTCGATATAAAGGAGGCCAAAGAAAGATTTGATTGTGGTATACGTGATTGGAAGGGGCCTGGACAGTGTGGACCTATTTATCTGAGAGGCTCAGTGACTAAGGAACATACACTTACAGTGGCAGAAAGAGAGGGCAGATGAGGAAATCCTTTCTGTTCTGCTAGAACCCCTGGATCATAAAGCATTCACATTGCAGGATCAATGGGTACCTTCGCCAAGTTCTAGGTGTCCCACTTCCCTCACCCCACCACGCATTTGTCAAGGTAGCTGCATGGGCAGTCAAACCTGTTACTCAGGCAGTCAGTTGTAAACCCCTGTGAAAATTAAGATGCACTCTGTGAAATCAAAACTCCTCTCTCTGCCTTCATAAAACCCACCCCATATTATACTCTTCTATACTTTGTCAGAGTACATGTTCCCACTCCCTGTCCTATTCTAGTAATATCAACCAAACCTCCACCACTCTTGCTCTCTCTCCTCCTACTTTATCTGTGTTTTACCTGCCAACCATCTCTGAGTTGTTGTAGACAGGAATATTGGGTTTGTCCTTATTGTTGTATGGTCCAAAGTGACAGTTTGGAGCCCCAAACCATTCATCAAATCCATGCTTCAGGGGGTGGAAGTGGGCTTGATGTCCCAAGTGCCTGTGGGAGACAGAAAGAAAGATTCAGATTACAAAAAATTGTAATTTAAAACACTAACCCCTGTGGGTGTGTCCCACATGGATAAGTTACAAATTGTTAGAATTTTCAGACAGGATACAGAACAATCAAACTAACACTTGCTGCGATGCAGACTGTTATGTTCATGTTAGGGGACAGGTGATGGACTAATGATAATGTCACTGGACTAGTAATCCAGACCCACAGGCTCATATTCTGAGGAAATAGGTTAGAATCCCACAATGGGAAATGGTGAAATTTGAATTCAATAGAAATCTGAAATAAAAAGCTAGCCTAATGACAACCATGTAACCATTATCAATTGTCAGAAGACCCAACAGGCTCACTAACGGCCTTCCAGTAAGGAAATCTACCCTCCTTAACCTGGTCTGGTCAAAATTGACTCCAGACTCCCAGCAATGCGATGGACTCTTAACTGCTCTTGGGCTACATTCCCTATAACGATTCCCGCTACTGCTTGGATATTTGATGTCCACGTACAGCAGTGGCTTCCGGAGCCAGAAATCAAGGCATCTGGATACTGACTGGCGGCTGCACAGTTTAGAGGAAACATTGATTTATTGTCACGTGTACCGAAGTACAGTGAAAAGCTTTGTTTATGAGCAATACAGGCAGATCTTAGTAAACAAGGGTGTACACATTAAAAAGACTTAGAGGCATACAGGTTACAGTGCACAGTGCGTGCGCTAGGTGAGATCAACGTCAGCAAGATCAGCATTATTTGAGGCTACAGAGTCCATTCATCAGTCTAATAATGGCTGGGAAGAAGCTGTTCCTGAACCTGCTGATGCGTGTCTTCAGGCTTCTGTATCTTCTGCCTGATGGAAGAAGTTGTAGATTTCCTTACTGGAAGGCCGTTAGTGAGCCTGTTGGGTCTTCTGACAATTGATAATGGTTACATGGTTGTCATTACCGGGGTGCAATGGTTCTTTGATATTGGCCGCCTTTCCGCGGCAATGAGCTTTGTAAATAGAGTCCATGGATGGAAGATTTGCTTCTGTGATGGTCTGGGCTGTGCACACCACCTTCTGTAGTTTCTTACGGTCCTGGGCAGAGCAGTTGCCATACCAGGCCGTTACGCACCTGGACAGTAAGTGTTCAATTGTGCATCTGTAGAAGTTGGTGAGGGTCCTTGTGGACATGCCAAATTCCTTGAGCTGCCTGAGGAAGAAGAGCTGTTGTTGTGCCTTCTTGAACATTGCATCTATGTGGGAGTTGAGGATAGGTTGTTGGTTATCATCACTCAGAGGAACTTGACATTCTCCACTCTCTCAACCTCAATTCCGTTGATGTAGATGCAGGCGTGTTCTCCTCCTTTCTTTCTAATGATGGTGGCAGCGAAATAGCAGTGCAGCCCAGTAGCCCACAGCTCATCTACTCAGTTTGCTGACACAATTTTTTCGTTTTCTTTCTCTGTTTATAATGTTTCCAATTAGTATAGTTAATCAAAATTCATCTTAACTTCATTTAACGGCTTATCCAGTGATAGGGTGGCTTCTCGCAGTCCAGAGTGGTGGTCTTTTCCTGGCATAGTGGTCTTGGCCCTGTGGAGCAATCTCCTGATGTGGCAGTTTTGTCTCAGGGTTGTGGTCTCATTGGCAGTCCGGCTTAATGTCTGGTGAACGCTTCCAGCCCAGTATTCCAACGGCTTGGTATGGTGTGTTTTGTTCAGGGTGGCGCTTTTGCCAGTGGCGTTTTCTTTGGCAGATGCTTTTGGCCCAGCGTTTTGACAGCCTGGTGTGGCACTTTTCATCCAGGGTGGCGGTATTTTTCTTCAGCAGAGACTTTTGGCCTAGTTTTTCCGGTGGCCCAGCATGTCAGTTTCAATCTCGTCATGGATTGATGGTGTCATCCCAGCTGTGTTTCTACATTGTTTTGACAATGTAGAAAATTGCCCAAGTATGTCCTGTTCATAAAAACTGGACAAATCCAACTTGGCCAACTGCTGTCCCATCAGTCTGCTCTTGATCATCAGTAGAATGATGGATCTTTAACAGTGCTATCAAGCAGCACCTGCTCAGCGATGCCCAGTTTGGGTTCTAAGAGGACCACTCAGCTCCCGATCTCATTACAGTCTTGGTTCAAGCATGGTCAAAAAAAAACTGAATTCCAGAGGTAAGGTGACATCAAGGCTGCATTCGATTTGAGTGTAGCATCAAGGAACCCTGGTAAAACTGGAATCAACGGGTATCAAGGGGCAAACATTCCGCTGGTTGCAGTCATACCTGGCACATAGGAAGATGGTCATGGTTGTTGGAGATCAGTCACCTCAGCTCCAGGACATCTCTGCAGGAGTTCCTCAGGATAGTGTCCTAGGCCCAACCATGTTCAGCTGCTTCATCAATGACCTTCTCTTCATCATAAGGTCAGAAGTGGGGATGTTCTCTAATGATTGCACAATGTTCAACACTATTTGTGGCTCCTCTGATATTGAAGCAGTTCATGTTCAAATACATGACGTGGACGATATCCAGGCTTGGGTTGACAAGTGGCAAGTAACTTTTGCACCACACAAATGCCAGGCAATGACCATATTTAATAAGAGACAATCTAACCACCGCCCTTTGACATTCAAAGGTGTTACCATCATTGAATTCTCCACTATCAACATTCTGGAGGTTACCATTGACCAGAATTGCAACTGCACTTGCTACATAAACACTGTGGCTACAAGAACCAGTCAAAGGCTAGAAATACTGCGGTGAATACCTCATTTCCTGACTCCCCAAAGCCTGTCCACCATCTACAAGGCCTATAAAATGAAATTGGTGAGAGTACAAGCCCTTTAGTACATGTTCCCTTTCGGGTGAAATGTTAGAGCAACAAGCCCAGACATCCCTGGATATCTCTAAGTATTCAGGACTGAATAAGATCATAACATTTTAAGATACAGGAGCAGAACTAAGCCACTTGGCCCATCGAGTCTGCTCTGCCATTTCATTTTGGCTGATCTGTTTTTCAACCCTATTCTCCTGCCTTCTCCCCTTACTGATCAAGAACCTGTCTCTGTCTGAAATACACTCAATGACTTGACCTCCACAGCTTTCTGCAGCATAGAGTCTACAGATTCCCCATTCTCTCAATAAGAAGAAAAAGAGAAGCTTTCAACAGGTACAGAGGAAGCAAAGCAATGGAGGTCCTAGTGGAATATAGACAGTACAGGGGAAACTAAAGAAAGCAATTAGGACAGCAAGGAGGGGTATGACGATACTACAACTGTAAGAGGTGTATTGTGTCCTTACTTTTATGAAGAAAGATTGAGACAGAGGTAACAAGTGGTCTGCCCAAAGCCAATAAAGTACACAGCCTGTGAGGCCTGTTATTGTATTAAAGTTGGAACAATAGAAGCAGCCAGAATGGGTGGGATCAAGCTCCCACAGAACCAGGATTTTTGGTTTTAGCTTTCTGCAGTTGCTGGGATCTTGAAGCTGGATGTGGACGTTCTTATTGCTAGTTATAGTTAAAAGCTGGGGTTCTCTTCCGGCTGCTAGAATTGCATGTGAGACAATCTATTTTATTAAATTTGCCTTTGCCAAGGGTGTGTTTATGGGATGTTACTATATTGAAATAGTTAACAGTTAATAGTGGTTTATATATATTGTTTTGTAGGTATTTCCATAGAGTTACAATTAAGCCAATGTTTTTATTTTTATTTGTCTGAAATTTAACTGTAGTGTAAAAATAAAGTGTGTTTTGCTTAAAGTCAAGTAGCTTAATCAATCAAATTGCATCTGGAACACAACACCTTACACTTACCTTTAAATTAAAGAAAAGTTAGGGTCTAGGCTATCTTTTGAGGGGTTTGGTCTGGTCCATAAAAGGGGCATGAAAGAAACACTGGCAGGTAAGATTAGGGAGAATTGCAAGATTTCTATACAGGGGCCCCGATTTATAAATATCCAACTTACGAATGAGTGGAGGGCGTATGGAATGCGCTGCCGGCAGTGGTAGTGGAGTCAGATACTTTACAGACTTTTAAGCGACTCTTGGATAGCCACATGGAGGATAGTAAAATGTTGAGTATGCAGGGTAGTTTGATCTTAGTAGGATATTAGTTGGCACAAAATCGTGGGCCGAAGGGCCTGTACTGTGCTGTACTGCTCTATGTTCTATGAATGCATGGACTTTTGAAGGCAATCCCATAGGGAGTGTAATTTTAAAGACACACATTCAAACATTTCTGTATAGATTATGAGGGCTGTGGACATGCTAGATAGAATGCAGTTGTTCCCTCTTAATTGAAGGGTCAATAACAAGGGGGCATAATTTTACGGTGAAAGGCAGGGTTTAGAGGGGATTTCATGAAAATACTTTTCACCTAGTAGATGGTGGGAATCTGGAATGCACTGCCTAGGAGGGTAGTTGAGGTGGAAAATCTTACTTTAAAAAGTAGTTGGATGAACAGCTGAATTATCATAACACTCAAGGCTCTAGGCCAAGATGTGGAAAATAATTAGAGTATTTTTTCTCAGTGCAGACTTGATGGGCTGAAAGCCTCATCTATACTGTATGATTCTATGATTCTAAGAAGAATCTTTGAGCCAAATCACTTCACTGTGAAAGGCAGTTCTGAGAGTAAAAGTCTTCATACTGAGAAAGGAAAAGAACAGAAGTACTGTTTTGTGGATGATCCATCCTGACCTCCTCCAATAGTCCCTAGCATCACAGTTGTCAGCCTTTGGTCAATTTGACTCACTCCATATGATATCAAGTAACGGTCAGAAGCACTGAATACTGCAAAGACTATGAGTCCTGACAATTTACCAGCAACAGTACTAAGGACTTGTGCTCAATGACTTTCCATGACCCTAACCAAGCTGTTCCAGTACAGCTACAACACAAGCATCTCCATAAGAAGGTGGAAAATTGCCCAGGTAGTTCTGCACAAAAAAAAGGACAAAACCAATTCTGCCAATTTCCACCATATCATTCTGCTCTCGATCATCAGTAAAGTGATGAAGGTGACATCAACAGTGCTATCAAGTAGCACTTGCTAAGTAATAACCTGCTCGCTAACACTCAGCATGGGCTTTGATAGGGCATCTCAGCTCCTGGCCTCATTACAGTCTTGGACTACACATGGACAAAAGAGCTAAAAGAGGTGAGGTGACAGCAACTGCCCTTGACATCAAACCTGCATTTCACCACATGTTGCATCAAGGAACCCTCGCAAAATTGAGAGTCTTTGGGAACTTGGGGAAAACACTCTGCTGTTTGGAATCATACCTGGCACAAAGGAAGATGATTGTGTTCGTTGGACATTAGTCATCTTACTTCTGGGACATCTCTACGAGTTCCTCAGGGTACTGTCCCAGATCCAACCATCTTAGGCTGCTTCACAATAGATCTTGTCTCCACCATAAGGGCAAAAGTCAGGATGTTCACTGCTAAATGCACAATTTTCAGCGCACTCCTCTTATACTGAAGCAGTGCATGTCCTTCTGCAGTATGACATGGACAATGTCTGGGTTTAGGCCAACAAGTGGTAAATAACATTTATGCCATGCAAGTGCAAGCCATTGGCCATTTCTTTCCAACTCCATGATCATTGCCATCTAGAGGACATGGGTAGCAGATACATGTTAACACCACCATCTGCAAGTTCCCCTCCAAGACATTCACAATCCTGACTTGTAAATGTATTGCCATTTGTTTAATGTCAATGGGTCAAGATTCTGGAACTCCCTCCCTAACAGCACTATGAGTCTATCTATGCATAATGGGCTGCAGCAGTTCACGAAGGTCACTCACTACCACCTCTTCGAGAATAATTAGGTAAGGTCAATAAATGCTGGCTCAGTTAGCAGCACAAAGAAGTAAGAATCTGTATGGGCTGTTCTGGGACATATAAATATGCATCCTGAATAGTGTAAAGTATGAGAATGTGGGTGTCATGGCAAGGCCAGCATTTGTTGCCCATCTGTAACCACCCTTCAACTGAATGGCATTTCAGAGAGCAGTTATGAGTGCATTAGTCTCAATCCTTGGATTACTGGTTCAGTGAACACTATGTCTGCCTGTCTGTGAACTATATTTTCAGTTATGCCAAAGGAAAAAGGAACTTCAGGTTTGAGATTTAAAATTTAAATTGCTCACAAAGCTACAGATTAGTCAATATTGTCTTTAGTCTTTTGTTCCAGTAAAGGTCTGTAAACATGAGATCTGCTGTTTTTTTTATTGCCCATGGGGGCAGTTAAGAATCAACCACATTGCTGTGCATTTGGAGTCACTTGTAGGCCATATGAGGTAAGGATGGCAATTTCCTTTCTAAACACAATGAATGAACCAAGTGTGTTTTTGTGACAATCAACCATAAATTCATGGTCATCATTAGATTCTTAATTCCAGATTTTTAGTCAATTCAAATTTCACCAAGGATGGCAGGATTCAAACCCAGGTCCCTGGATTAACAGTCCAGCAATAATATTACTAGATCGTTCCCTCCCCATTCTTTCACTTGTATCACCCTTTCAGCTATTAACTGTAGGTTTTAAAAAGACATATAAACTTATCAGTTTCTGGATATTATTACAAAAATGATTATGAGAATAAACTGGCAGCTCACATAAAAAGGAACACATAAGTATTTCATTAGAATATACCAATAGAAAAAAAATGTAGTCCATAAGACATAAAAGCAGAGTATATCTTTAGTACAAGTAGTCTGCTGTGCCTTCAATGAGTTTATGGGTGATCTATTAATTCTCAATTCCACCTTCCTGACTCAACCCTTGATTCCCTTACTGATTAAAAATCTGTCAGGCTCAGCCTTAAATATAATTAATGACTCAGCCTTAAACAGCCCTCTGTAGTAAAGAATTCCACACATTTGCTACCCTCTGAGAGAAGAAATTCTTATCTTTGTCCTAACTGGGCAACTTCTTACTCTGGGATTATGCTCTCTCGTCCTAGACTCTCCTACAAGAGAAAACAACCTCTTCATAACTACCCTATCAAGTCTCCTAAGAATCTTACATCAATAAGACACAGATAATGGAAGTGAAATGTATAATAGCCACTTCTAATTCTTCTAAACTCTAATGGTAGAGACCCAACTTACTTAATGTCTCCTTGTAAGCCAATCCCTACATACCTGGGGTCAACCTAGTCAACCTTCTCGGGACTGCCTTCAATGCCAGTACCTCTTTCCTTAAATAAAAGGGCCAAACTGTTCAAAGTGTTTTAAGTGTGGTCTAAGTAGTTTAAGTTTTAGCAAGTTTTTCCTACATCTGTTATGTTGAAATAAAGGCCAACATTTTACTAGCCTTCCCTATTACCTGATCAACTCGTGTACTAGGTTTGTGAGATTTATACATAAGGGCTCCCAAATTCCTTTGTGCTGTAGCTTTCTGCAGTCTTTCTCCATTTTAATAATTCAACTCCTCTATTCTTACTGCCAAAATGCATAAGCTCAAATTTTCCTACATTATATTCCATGTGCCAAGCTTTAGCTCACTCACTAAACCTGTCTATATCCATCTGCAGACTTTTTGTGCTAACTTCACCACTTGCCTGTCCATCTATTTTGGTGTCATCCATAGGAGTGGCTGTTATAAATTCACTTCCATCATCTATGTTATTAATATATAGTAAACAATTGAGGCGCCTGGGACACACCATTAGTTACAGTTTGCCATCCTGAAACTGTCGCCCCTATCCCAACTCTTTATCTTCCATTAGTTAGCCAATGCTCTATCTACACTAATATACTACCACGACACCATGGGCTCTTATCTTATTAAGTAGCCTAATATGTGGTACCTTATCAGACCTAAAAATCTATTATATTTACATCGACTGTTTCCCTTTTATCTCACCTGCCTGTTACATGCTCAAAGAATTTTCATAAATTTGTCAGAAATGATTTCCACCATAAAGTCGTGCTGACTTTGCTTGATCATTCTATCCATTCCCTAAATTCTCTGCTATTGTAATCTTTATCATAGATGCTAACATCTTCCCAACAACAGATGTTAAGCTAAGTGGCCTATAGTTAACTGTTTTATTTTTGTCTCCTGCCTTTTTGAATAAAGGTGTTACATTGCCAGTTTTCTAATCCTCCAGCACTTTTCCAGAATCCAAAGGTTCTTGGTCTAAATAAGGATTAGGAATTGGCACAGGCTTGGTGGGCCAAAGAGCCTGTTCCTGTGTTGTACTGTAATGTATAAGATTATTACTAGTGCATCCACTATATCTGTAGCTATTTCTTCTAGTATTCTTGGATGCATTCTATCATGTCCAGGTCATTTATCAATCTTTAGCTCCATTAGTATTCTCTAGTGCTTTTTCTCTATTGATAGTTATTGTGTTTATTTCATCTTCCCTTTTCACTCCTCAATTATTCAGTAATTTTTAAATGGTAATAGTGTCTACGAGTATGAAGACTGATGCCAAGTATTTATGTAATTCCTTTGTTATTTCCTGGCTCCCCATTATTATTTCCCGGCTCCCCATTATTATTTCCCAAAATACACTTTCTAAGGGGTCAATGTTCACTTTCAACTCTTTCTTCCTTTTCATGTATTTAAAGAAGCAAAAGGAAAAGTAGGGTTAATTAGTAACCAAAAAGGTCTTCTAAAGTTGGCTGAGGTATGCGAATGTCTTCACTTGAGATATACAGAGAAGAAAGAGGCAATATTGACATTCAATACAATCAAAATAAATTAGAGAAGTTATGGTAAAACTTGGAGGTCCTCAATGTAGGACAATTACCTGGTCTGAATGAGAAGCAGCCTAATTACTAAGGGAAATTAAGGGTGACAGTTTCAGGGAGTCCGGCCACAATGTCAGTGATGCTAAAGAACTAGAAGATTGTGAATTTAAAATGTTAGTTGAAAAGGACTAAACCGAGCAACTATTGGCCAGTCAGCATAACTTCATTGGTGAAAGTTGATGCAGACAGATTATATTGTCTATATAGAGTTTCAAAAAGCATTCAACAAAGTTACGTATAGTAGGTGTGTTCACAAAATTAAAAGCGCATAGGTAGACACAGAATTGGTGAAGGGACAGAAAGCAGAATGCCCTGGTGAAGGTTGTTTTCAAGATTGAAGTGAAGATTATGTATTGCCATTCTTCAGCGTTGCTAAGTCAAAATCCTGGAATTCCCTCCCTAACAGCTCCGTTGGTGTAACTATACTCCAAGAAGGCAGCAGCTCATAAAAGGCAGCTCACCATCACATTCTCAAGGGCAATCAGGGATTGCAACAATACTAGCCTTGCCAACCATGCCACATCCCATGGAAGAATGAAGAAAAAACTCTTGATACCATATTTTAGGATGAATGTCAAAGCCTTGGATAGAGTGTAGAGGAGGTTTACAAACGGTTCCAGGGATGAGGGATTTCAAAATCAAGAACGTGTTTGACAGAGAAAGTAAGGAGAACAAACTGTTTCCACTGGCTGCAAAGTTACTAACCAGAGGTCACAAATGTAAAATAACTGCCAAAACAACCAGAGGTGACTTAAATAGATGTCTTTTCTTTAGCATCAATGATCTGCATGGGAGGTGGAGCAGATTCAATGTAATTTCCAGAACAGAATTGGATAAATACTTGAAGGTCTACTGGGAAAGCTTAGAGTATGCTGATATATTGGATTTCTCTATCAAAGAATTTGCCCAGGCATGCTGGGCTGAATGACTTTCTTTCATCATCTATGATTTCATGTTAACATTTGTACTGTAATCCTGCAGACACTTTACTCAGAACAATGATGATTTAAAGTTGACGAACCACTTCCCAATGATTTTGCTGGAATATCCTGCCTTCCGGAGGAGTTCTGGCAAAAGGATCTCCGAATCAGGGATTCCTCCCACAATTTCCTGTGGTGTATATGCTGCAGACAGAGAAAAACAGTGGTATTAGTCACATACAAGGCTGGCTTTATTGAATTGATTTGTCAAGAAATATTGTCTGCTTTCTTAATTCGCAAGCTAATCGTCTGGGGTTTGGTCCAAATGGGGAGGGTCATACTGTGAGTGAGAGCAAGGCTCAAGATCAAAGGAGGTTGGTGCCTCCCATGCAGAGTTCATTAACCTCATGAGGTATTGCACTATTACATCCACCCTGCACCACATCCATGGACATTGCATCTGACATGTGCCAGCATCTAAGATCTCTCATGGTACATGTCCGAACCACTCAAAGTACACTTCTGCACTTCAGTGCCATATCTTGGGGTCAAATAACAATTTTGATTGTAATGGTAAAGCAGGGACACTTTGTGCTGAAAAGGCAACACACCTTGCTCATAGATTGGTCCAGACTGTGTCTCCAGCCACTTGCTCTCTTAGCACTCACACACATTGAAACCCGAATATTCACTGCATCATGGCCTTGCCTTGCTCTCTCAGCCAGAGATACCAGGCTCACAATACTGCTATATTGCTCTGCCATTTTCTGCAAACACGGTCAGGAAGCCTGTCATGGGGTTGTCAGCTGTCCTCAATCATGTCAAGGAAAATAGCCTTTGGTCAGGGAGTCCTCATAGGCAGCCTGTGTTCCCAGTCCAGGGCCTTGTACATGGGCAGTCAGCAGCCCGTGGTCAGAGTCAAGATCCTCTCCCCATTAGGGGTGAGCAGCCAAACATCTGGCAACATACTGGCCACCTTGACTTTTTCAGGACCATTGCGGGCTGTTTTCTTCGTGGAATGAGAGTGGAGAAGAAGCGGAAGACACAGCTGTTACTTTTATTGCAAGTGGGGAAGAGTCCTGAGTAAGTGAGCAGACAGTGCAGAGGGCATGCGGGATAAGTAAGTAAGATTCAGCCTATAGTGTCTGAGTGTGCACGTGAGACACAGGGCTGAATACAGCGCTGTCTGAGCTGTGCCAGTGGAACCCATACCTGACTCAGAAGAAGGGTGTTTGGAGACCATGACCTGCAGGCTCAGATTAAACTTTTGGTCTACAAAGCCATTGTTCTTCCTGCACTGCTAAATGGAGCTGAAACATGGACTACCTAGAGTAGGCACATTAAAACATCAAACAACACCAGCAGAGATCCCTAGGAAAAATTCTGCGACTCAACTGGGAAGACAGGCGCACTAATACCGGCAACTTGGAGGAGGCCAACATAGCCAGCATCACCACCACAAGTATAATTCTACAGCAACTCTGATAGACTGGCCACGTCATCTGAATACCCAAGTCACGCCTCCTAAAATAGATCATGTACTTTCAGCTGAAGGAAGGTCAGCGTGCTCCCTGGCCAAAAGAAATGCTTCAAAGATAACAACTGGACTAACCTCAAGAAATTCTATATCAACGTCAACAACTAGGAGGACATAGCTACAAACTGAAACATCGTCCAGCAGGGAGCTATACGCTAAGGAAACAAACTCCGCCGTGCCATTGAACAGAAGCGACTCTTGCACAAGGAGAGACTGAACATCAGGAAGGCCCACCCACGACCACCTCCAACCACCATCACCACCCACCAAAGCCCACACTGCAAACAGAATCTCTTCAGCCATCTTAAGGCTCACAGATAGACACTCTCACAGAGGACAATCATTCTCAACCCGAGTAATCGCCGAAGTCAGGGCCGGATCTTACATTTTTTTGGCCAACTGTCAGTTTCAACAAATGTTTTGAAGTCTTTTGAGATCTCTTGGCATAGCATGCCAAACGTGCCTCATTACCTACTTTCCCTGCCCCTGTGGGACCTCTCTCATCCAATCCTAGCTCCATCTTACCCCATACCTTTCTCGAAAGTAATTACCACTCACTGCTTATTGTTGTGCGCCACTGGCTAAATCAAGCTGTACTATTCCCAGAATCGCTACAGCAGTTGAAGATTTCAAAAAGTACATAGAATTCATAATTTACCTTCTTTCAGATCTGGGTTGACAGAAAATGCAGATGAGGTTTCTGTTCTTAACAAGAAGGTCTATTTAATTAAATAAATGGGTTCTAACTTCAGATAAACAATTATGAACCATCAATATATAACTACCAATTAGAACTCTAACCCAATTAAAAAACTTCTTCTCTACACATATGTACAAACAGGCATTAAAAGAAACATTGGTGTTAGGAGCAGAGGAAAAGACTGGCTCCATGATCCCTGTCCACAGTGTTTGCTGAGATGATCATTTTGCTGATCAGAAAGCTGCTTCATCATTTCTGTACCTCTTCAATTACTTCATCAATGATCTTCTTTCTTTCACCTGTTCAAAGTGGGGATATTTGCTGACGATTGCATAACGTTCAGCACCATTTGCAACTCCAGAAAGACTAAAGCAGACTGTGATATTACACAGCAAGCCTTGGACAACATCTAAACTTAGACCATTACATGGCAAGAAATATTCAAGCCACACAAGTATCAGGCAGTGATCACCTCCAACAAGAGAGAAGCTAATCATCATCTCTTGATACTATAATTGTTCAATCCCCCACTATCAACATCCTGGGGGTTACTATTGACCAGAAACTGAACTGGACTAACCATAAAAATACTGTGGCTACAAAATCAGGTCAAAGGATGGGAATACTGCATTGAGTAACTTACCTGCTTCTCATCCACAAGTCAGAAATGTGATGGAACTCTCACCACTTGCCTGGATGATTGCAATTTAAGAATCTCAACACCATCGAGATCAAAGTAGCTTGGCACAATTTTCACCATTCACCACCAATGCACAGTGGCAGCACGGTCGACAAGATACAGTGCAGCAACTCGTCAAGTATTTTTTGACAACACCTTTCATCCCCAACCACTTCCATCCAGAAGGACAAGGGCAGCAGATACATGGGACACCACCATCAGCAAGTTCCTTTCCAAGCCACATCAACATCGTTTTTCCTTCAGTGACACTCAGGTCAAAATCCTGGAATTCCCTCCCTTACAGTATTATGCGTCTACCCACAGTACATGGACTACAGCAGTTCAGGAGGCAGATCACTGCTGGACAGGCAATTAATGCTGGCCTAGCCAATGATGCTCACATCCTGTGAAAGAATTAAAAGATTATACAAGTGGGCTCTCTCCCACACACAAAGTGCAACAGATATCACCAATAAGTGACTGAAGCCAGGCTGGAAAATGCTTACTATGCTGACTGGTTAAGGCTAATACTTACCATTTCGAGCATGAGCATTTGTTGTGTAGAAACCATTTCTAATGGGAAGACGACCTGTTAGCAATGCAGCACGGGCTATAGAGGAAGGAGAAAAGGAGAAACGTTTCAATAAATTGATTTTTATTTCTAAAATATTTATACAGGCTGCATTTAAGGTAAAGCTCCATACAGCAGAGAAGTCAGCAATCCTCACTGGTTTATATTGATAAGGAGTCTATGCCTAATTCAATATATTCCACAGCCCTCACAGCAACACTCTGATATACCCCACCTCTCTCATAGCAACACTGATATACATCACACCTATCAGTGTAACACTCTGATATGCCTGACATCCCTCAAAGCAATACACTGATCTTTCCCAAACACATTGTATCACTCTGATATTCCCCCCACCCCTCACCGTATCACTCTGATAAACCCTGCACCACTCATTGTAACTCTCTGATAAATCCCATATCCCTCACTGTGAATCTAATATACCCCAAAACTCTCACTGTAACAAGGTGATATACTCCATACCACTCAATGAAACACTCCAAAAGACTCCACATCCCTCACAGCAACTCATTGATATACCTAACACCCATAAGACCACAAAGAGATAAGGTATAGGAGCAGATTTAGGCCATTCAGCCCATTGAGTATGCCCCACTATTCGATCATGGCTGATAGGTTTCTCAACCATATTCTCGTACTTTCTCCCCATAACCTTTTATACCCTTACTAATCAAGAAACTATCTATCTCTGACTTAAATTTTCGCTGGATCAAAATCCTGGAATTCCCTCCCAAACGGCATTATGGGTCAACTCACAGCAGGTGCACTGCAGCTGTTCAAGAAGGTAGCTCAACACCACCTTCTCAAGGGTAACTAGAGACAGGCAATAAATGCAGGCCAGCCAGTGATGCCTACATCACACAAATGAATTTAAAAAAAAACACTCAGTGACTTGGCCTCCACAACCTACTGTAGCAAAGAGTTCCACAGTTTCAGCACCCTCTGGCTAATCAAATGCCACCTCATCTCAGTTCTAAAGGGTCATCCCTTCATTCTGAGGCTGGGCACTTGAGTCCTAGTTTCTCCTACTAGTAGAAAAATCTTCTGCATGTCCACTCTATCCAGGCCTCTGAGAATTCTTCATTATTCTTCTAAACTCCATCAAGTACAGACCCAGAGTCCTCAATCACTCCTCACATGACAATTCCTGGGATCATTCTTATGGACCCCCTCTGGTTCCACTCCAAGGCCAGCACATCCTTCCTTAGGTACAGTACACAAAACTGCTCACAATATTCCAAATGTGGTCTGACCAGTGCTGTATACAGCCTTAGCAATACATCCCTGCTCTTGTATTCTAGCTGCCTCGAAACAAATACTAACTTTGCATCTGCCTTCCTAACTGCCAACTGAACATGCATGTTAACCACTCTATCCGGGCCTCTCAGTATTCTGTAGGTCTCAATGAGATTCCCCTCTCATCCTTCTAAACTCCACTGAGGACAGAGTCAGAGTCCTCAACCATTCCTCACATGATAAATCCTTCATTCCTGCAATCATTCTCGTCGACCTCCTCTGGAACCTCTCCAAAGCCAGCACATCTTTCCTTAGATATGGAGCCTAAAACTGCTTACAATATTCCAAATGCAGTCTGACCAGAGTTTCATACAGCATCAGCAGTATATCCCTGCCAATTCTAGACTCTCAAAATGAATGTTAACGTTGTATTTGCCTTCCTAACTGCCAACTGAGCCTGCATATTAACCTTAAGAAATTCCTGAACAGACTCCTAAGTCTCTTTGTGCTCCAGATTTCCAATTTAGAAAATAGTCTATACCTCAATTCATCCTACCAATATACATATCTGACATTTGCCCACATTGTATTCCATCTGCCACTTATTTGCCCACTCTCCTAACCTGTCCAAATACTTCTGCGACTTCCTCATCTCCTCAACACTTCCTGACCTTCAACCTATGTAAACTCAGCAGCAATGCTCTCAGTTCCTTTTGTCCAGATCATTAATATATAATTAAAATAGTTGTACTCACTGCAACTCTGTTATACCCAACACCCGTCATAGAAACATTCTGATAAACCTCACCACTCACTGTAACTCTCTGATACCTCCAACACCACACTGTATCACACTGATATCACCCATAATCCACACAGCAACACTGTGATATTAACCACTGCTCAATGTAACACTGAACTATCTAACACCCCACACTGTATCACTCTGGTATACCCCACACCCCTCACTTGTAACGATTTGATATACCCACATTCTTCACTGTTCAACTTTGATAAACTCCACTTCCCTCAACGTATCACTCTGATAAACCTCACACACCTCACTGCAACACACTGATTTATCCAACAACCAACACTGGGGAGGCAATGGCCTAGTGGTATGATCACTGGACTGTTAATCCAGAGACACAGATAACATTCTGGAGACCTCGGTTCAAACCCCACCATGGCAGATAGTGGAATTTGAATTCAATCAATATCTGGAATTAAGAATCTAATGATAACCATGAATCCATTGTCGGAAAAACCCATCTAGTTCACTAATATCCTTTAGGGAAGGAAACTGCCATCCTTCTACCTGGTCTGGCCTACATGTGACTTCAGATCCACAGCAATGCAGTTGACTCTTAACTGCTCCACACTGATGTTAACTAAAGCCCACACTATATCATTCTGGTATGTCCCACAACCCTCAATCTATCGCTCTGATAAACCCTGCAGCCCTCACTGTAACACTGATATATCTCACAGTCTATTACAAGGCTCTCTTTGCATTCAGGAATTGTCTTTTTAATTTTCAAAATTGACTCTACTGTTTAAGAACGTAAAAACCTGTTAGCCTGGGATCTGGTAGAGAAAATATTGGCATCTATATTAAAGACAAAGTGATGAACATTTTAAGAAAGTCAAGCTAATTAGAAAGAGCAAGCATGAATTTGTACAGAGTAGGTATTAACTAAGTGAATTTTTCAAGGAAATGACTGAAGTTGTATACAGAGGAATGTCTATAAATTATATATGTATACAAGAAGTCTCCTCATATGAGACTCTTTACTAAAATGAAAGCCCATTGAATTGAAGACAAACGAGTAATCTGGTTAGATGGTGGAAGACAACGAATCAGCATAATGGACAGGTGCCGAAATTGCAACTAATCACCATGGCCCACAGGACACTGTGCTGGGGCCTCAAATATTCACCAAATTCATAACTGGCTGAACAGAAGTGAATAGAGAGTCTTTTATCTAAAAGACATTTACCACAGATAGTGGAGATCTGAAACAAAATAAAGAAAATAACAGTCTGAACACGAAAGATATAAAATGTTGTAAGTTTTAAGCAAGTAAAGAAACACAAAGTGGGGAGTGAAAGAAGAGAACCAGAGGAAATGTCTGTCATTGGGTGGGAGGCAGGAGAGATTGAATGACAAAACGACTCGAGCAAATAAAGAAAAATATTTGTCTAAAGATGTGAATAGTAAAAGCAATATTGCCAACTACTTCTTTCTGACAAAATGGGGACAGACGGTATCATCTGAAACTGCTGAATTCACTGCTGTGCTTGGAAATCTGAACAGTGGCTGACTGAAGGCCAACGGAAAGTTTCTGTCCAGGCCCCTCATGATTTTGAACACCTGCAGCACTGAATGACCAGAGATGGCAGCACATTGTTATACAAACAGCAGGGAGAGCTCAATATTGACTGCAGAACCCTTGAAGTCTCCTGGCAACAGGGCAAGCATGGGCAGGTAATCTTTCAGCTGTGTTCAAAATAATGAAGGGACAGAGTATACAGTTCTACACACAAAGGATGGTAGAGGTTTCAAACTCTCTTCCACAAATGGCAGTGGATGTTAGATCAGTTGTTAATTTAAAATCTGAGATAGGTTTGTTTTGGTAAGCAAAAGTATTAAAGGATATGGGCCAAAGGCATATGGAGTTAGGCCACAGATCAACCATTATCTCATTAACTGATGGTACAGGTTTGATGGGCTGAATGGCTCATTCCTGTTCCTATATTCCAGAGTTGATAGCGAGAGAAATTATTCTCACTGGCAGAAGGATCAAGAAAAAATGGACCAATTTAAGGTGACTGGCAAAAAAACTAAAGACGACACAAGGAAAACCTTTTGAACAATGTGTGACTAGGACCTGTAGCAATCCCAAAAGACAGCTCATCAGCAGCTTCTCAAGCTCAACTAGACATGGGCAATAGATGATGTGCTCACATTCCATGAACAAACAAAATAATTTTGCAGACCTCTGTCTTTCCAGTGAAAACGATCCAAGTTTATCCAATTTCTCCCCGTAACAGACCAGGCGATATTCTGGTTAATCTTCTCTGCAGTCTCCCCAAAGCATCCACATCTTTCTGACAGTTTGGCAACCAGAACTTCACACAATATTCCAAATGTGGCCTAACTAAAGTTTTGTACAGCGGTAGCATAACTTGCCACCTTTTGTAATGCAATGCCCCACCCAATGAAGGCAAGCATGCTGTATTCCTTCTTGACCACCCTATCTCCCTGTGTTGCTGCTTTCAGGGATCTATGAACCTGTTCACCCAGATCCCTCTATATTTCAATGCTCCAAAAGGTTCTGCCATTTATTGCATAATTTGCACCAGAATTTGATCTTCCAAAATGCATCATCTCACGTTTGTCCAGATTAAACTCCATTTGCCGTTTCTCATTTCCATCTGCCCAAATCTGCAAAAAATCTATATCCCACTGTATCCTCTGCCAATTTTGGCATCATCCACAAACTCCCTAATCAGACCACTTACATTTCCTCCAGATCATTTATATAATATTACAAACAATAAAGGTCCCAGCACTGATCCCCGCAGAACACCACTAGTTACTGATTTCCAATCTAAGATACACCCTTCCACTGCTACTGTCTGTCTTCCATGAACCCATTTTGTATCCATCTAGCTAGCTCACCCCAGATCCCACGAGACTGTACCTTCTGTTTGAGCTTGCCATGAGGTACCTTATCAAACGCCTTACTAAAGTCCATGTAGACAACGTCCCTTCCCTCATCAATCATTCTTGTCACCTCCTCAAAAAACTCAATCAAATTGGTGAGTCATGGCCTTCCCTGCACAAACCCATGCTGCCTATCACTAATAAGACCGTTCGCTTCCAAATGTGAATAAATTTTGTCTCTCAGAATCTTCTCCAACAGCTTCCTCAGCACTGACGCCGGTTCACCGGGCTGTAATTACCTAGGTTATCTCTGGTTCCCCTCTTAAACGAAAGGAACAACACTGGCCATACTGCAGTCCTCTGGAATCTTGCCAGAGGCCAAAGAGGATGCAAAGATATCTGTTAAGGCCTCAGCTATTTCCTGCCTTGCCTTCTACACTATCCTGGGATAGATCCCATCTGGCCCTGGAGACTTATCTACTTTCCTTTATTTCAATACACCCAATATTCCTCCTTTATGATGTTGACCTGCCCGAGAGTATTCACAGACCTTCTCTAACCTCAACATCCATCACATCCCTCTCTTTGGTGAATACCGACATAAAGTGCTCATTAAAGATCTCACCCAATTCCCATCTCCCTCCTTTGTCCTTGAGTGTGCCCATTCTTTCCTCAGCTATCCTCTTGCTCCTAACATATGTATAAAATGCCTTGGGATTCTCCTTAACCCTGCAGGCCAAGGACATTTCATACCTCTGTTTGGCCCTCCTAACTCCACATTTGAACTCCTTCCTACTTTCTCTATATTCTTCAAGGACTTTGTCTGTTTTTAGTTGCCTAGACCTTAGGTATGCTTCCTTTTGTTTTTGACTAAGCTGATAATTTCCCCAGTTATCTAAGGCTCCAAAATCCTGCCATTCCTGTCCTTCATTTACACAGGAATACGTCTGTCCTGCACTCTAATCAACTGGTCTTTAAAAGACTCCCACGTCAGATGTGGATTTACCCACAAACAGCCACTTCCAATCCACATTCTCCAATTCTCACCTAATTTGGTTATAGTTGGCCTTCCCCCAATTTAACACCTTCATCTGAGGTCCACTCATGTCCTTATCCATTCATATCCAAAAACTTATGAAATTACAGTCACTATTCCCAAAATGCTTCCCCACTGAAACTTTGATCATCTGGCCGGGCTCATTTCCCAATATCAGGTCCAGTCTGGGCCCGTCCCCCGTTGGACTATCCACATACTGTTTCAAAAGACTCTCCTGGACACACCAAACAAATTGCTCCCATCAAAACCCCTGACACTAAGGGAGTCCCAGTCAATATGGCACATGTTAAAATCACCCACCAGAATAACCCTATTATTTTCACAGATAACAAAGCATGGAGCTGGAAGAACACATCAGGCCAGGCAGCATCAGAGGAACAGAAAAGTTGACTTTTCAAGTCTGGACTCTTCTTCAGCATTTCTTCTGAAGAAGGATCCCGACCCAAAATGTCAACTTTCCTGTTCCTCCAATGCTGCCTGGCCTGCTGTGTTCCTCCAGCTCCACACCTTGTTATCTCTGACTCCAGAGTATGCTGT